AAAAAAAAAAAAAGAAACTACAATGGCTGAAATTAATATCTTATAGGTTATGAAAGATGTCCGTAACAGCATTGCAGCTGGAAGATAGAGTACCGAAACATCAGCCTTTTTCTATTTATCTTGACGAAGCTCTGAAGACACTAAACTCTGAGCACACTCCAAGGACCATTCCACAACGGTATTTTAAACAAGGCTACACAAATAGGACCTCGGAATTGGGCCAAAAATGTCCCAACAGGGGGAGGGCTCATAAGAATTTAGGGAGCAAATTACCTCCCGACAGGAGTATGGTTGCCACCAAAGGAACTCAATTATTTCCTGACGGGGGTATAGTGGGGCAAAATGCCATTCCCGACAAGGGTATGATCGGTACGAAGGTGATAAAACGAAGAGTAGCACGTGTAGAAAAGGAAAAGAAAATCGTAAGCGAAAGATTAAAAACTGAAAAAGAGTTTTCCTTTAAGAAGTCTTCAAAAATGACAAATGTACAACCACTAGGTAAACTGCGAGAATATAGAAACGATTATAGTATAGACCATATCCCTAGTCTAAAAAAGGTAGACGTAGACGATCGATACGAGAAGGAAAAACATATACAGAAGGTTTTAAATCGTTTGAACCTAAATGCTGGTCCCCATTACAAAAGCCCAACCAGCTCATCAAGTCAAAAGGGACCAGTTATCAAGAATACAACTGGGATTGACTTTGCATCCAGTTTGATGGAAAGCCATAATTTAACGTTAAAGCAGCTAAGAGAGTTCTGGCAAGATATGCCATCATTCTTGAATATACAAGCTGCAAAACTCAGGAGAAAGTATGGGATTGTTGGAAGCGAGGCTGCGGATGACATTGATGATATTGCGATTGAGATTGTGACAAAATGGAACACGCCGACAACGGTAGTTCTACCAAACATAGAAAACCAAATTTCAAGAACATTGTATGTTGTTGAAGAAGAAAACTGATATACACTTATTTCAATAAAGTTAGTCACCTGAAAAGCTATAAAGCTGAGGCCGACAAGGATTATGGGTAAATTCATTTTACACGTTTAACCGCTTGATAACTGTTCATGGACTTGCGAATCTTTTACTGGTTACAGTCTCACCTCTTCTGAGCATCATCGAGCTGCAGTTTGCATTAAAAAAGCTTTGTATATTATTTATAATGCTTTTTTGATATGAAAAGTTTCCCATGATGCTCAGTGATCTCAGCTTTCTAGGTTTTTGGTGACTAACTTTATTGAAATAAGTGTATTCAATACACATTAATGTGTTGGCAAATCTTTGGTACAATCGATATTAACTCGGAGCGTAGTCGGTTCACTCGGAGCTCGGTCCAATAGATATTAGTGTACGGTTATGTAATTAGATCAGATAAGCCCAAAAACTGTTCTTGGGGCTAGAAAAATTGTCATGGATATTTCAATCTTAAATTCATTTAAAGCTAGGTATCTATCTGTGTTATCGTTATATTGTTTTATATTTTCAGGATCGGACTTGGCAGCCTATGTGAGTAGACTTTTTGGAACTCTTGACTTAAAGCGAAGGTTTTTCTCCGGTTTCCCTCGATCATGCATACCTTTCAATCAATATTAGCTTTACAAAAATATTCATGAAGTCGAAATATGGCGACCAATTGGAATAGCTATTAAGTTCTGGACGGACTAGCCTCTCATACATGTGTTTCCACGTGAAAACGAGGCTAGTCAGTCATTTGTCAATGCGAGAACAATAGTTATTCAAATTGGTAGACATATTTCGATTCGGGGTATATGAATTGATAACTTTAGCTACTCCAGGTGGTATTGAAAATCGCCTTTGTACCGAGACTAATCTTAGGAAAAATAAACAAAGCCACGTAGACAAAACAAACAATTTCCCATTAAAAAGTCTTTATCGTTCGAGTAAAATACGCCTCATAAATGATATATTACAAACGCATGGGACGTATCATCAATGGTCTAAAAATTACGAAATATGAGGAATCGCCGTTGCTACCTGCATACTAAACGCTTCAATCTCGTACCCAGAGCCTGCGTTTCTTCTGGCCTGCGACGAAGAACGAGGGCTCTGGCATCATCCATTTTTTTGGCGCATGCGTAGTTTTTCGGAAATGAAATGTAATCATTGAAAATCAAGCTTTAAAACAGAGTTCTGTGTTTTCTTCCGATCAAAATAAAAATTAGAAACTGGGAAATTATTTTAAGTCTTTGAACGCAAGCGCTCTTATACCGGAAGTCCAAGAAATCCTGGTCTCAAAAAATGGATTATGCAAGAGCCCTTATTCTTCGCCGCAGGCCAGAAGAAACGCAGGCTCTGGGTACGAGATTGTAAACGCTTGTTTTAGGAGTACTTTGATTGCGCATGCTTGTAAGTTCACCTGTCGCGAATAACTTGTTTGCGCCAATGAGCGCGTTATAGCAAACGGATTTATTTCATTAGTCAAGATTTGTCGCAGAAGGTGAAGGTGGCAATTGCAATCTAGAGTCAGTAGAAAAAGGTAAGTTTTGGAAACTGAATTGATTATGAATAATCTTGCCATAAAATACGAGGTAAAATAAGAGGTAAAATAGAGGAAACTTGTAGACGAAGTCAATTGTATATGGTACTAAAAGATTTTTTTGGTGGTCTAAAGCATAGTAAAAAAGTAAAATGTTGAATCCAAGATTAACTTTAAAATGTTGTGAAAACAAAATCTAATACGGTTAATCTTAAGCATAACGTATTCAAAGAGGATTTGGGGAGACTGGTAGCTTTAGATTTAGATTAACATAAGAAACTATTGAAGAAATACAGTTTAGGCAAATGGATATGGATATGGATGGATAAGAATATATTAGTATCAAGTTATTTTTGTACTTGAATAGTTAATAAAGATGTGAATCGCGTTTTGTTTCTCTTCAAGCACATTTTTCTCGGAATTGTACAGCTCAAAATTTGCTTGGAGAAACTTAATTCACATCTTTAAAAATATTAGTATTTGAAATAACTTTTATAGCTTATAGATTTTTGAAGATTTCTTTTATCCTGAAATGAGAAGTTCAGTCGATCAAGTAATTCTATACATCACGTACTGCTGGATAGTCTAGACTTGCTAAAGGACTTCAACCTTGGAATAACATTGATTTAAAAACATTCATTTGGCATATGTATATGGGATTGGTTCACCTTCATTTTGGACAGAATGATGAATTGAAAGCTTAAAACAATGTCAAGCGAATGACTGAATTACTATCCTCCATCTGTCAGTTGACTTTATGGCATTTAATGTTTGAACGAACCTTTCCTCGGAAAATTAATAAGAAAAATGGTAAAAAAAAAAATCGTTCTTGTCCTAAGCTTAAACCCGGTTTTTCTTGCGACGGAATCAGAGTCGCAATTGGAAGCGGTTTAACCGTGTAATTGCGGGTGCAATTGAAAGAAGCATTAAAAAAAAAAAAAAAAAAAGTATAACCTTCCGATTTTGATCCCAACTCCGTTTTCAGGTTTTGACTTCGTTGTAAGCTGTTTCCAGCTCCGATTTCATCGTAATCTTAAAACTCGAACAAATCGGGTGAAATTTGGAGGGGAGAAATTTCTCGCTTTTAGTCAACAATCCATCGAATTTCATATCATGTTATTTCATATCATGACAACCATTAAACAAACAGACCTAAAAGGCTGCTTCTTAATTAAAGACACCTTGCACGGAACTGACTTTTCCCGATTATTGGCAATGCTTTTGTTAATACCTTGCGAAAATTGATGAATAGCAGATTTCCACATTTATTACAAATTGTATATGTATTAGTGTTTTAATTAGATTTCACCAGCTATTGGCCCTATCGTACGAAGGGTGGATAGCGCTATCCGAAAAATAAACCTTATCCAGTGGATAAGACGATCCATGCTGTTATGTAATAAATTTATTCGCTCATTAAAGAGAACTTGTAGGATATTAACCCATTGCAGCTCAATACAGGGGAGAAAAAATCAATTGAAATCATTCATTGTTTTGTCTTATGAATGCCAGCGGATTCTTTCAAGAGGTCTATATATAGTCGAGCCTTTGGTCTAATATTATTTAATTTGGTTTTGAAATTACCAAGCAAGGCGAATACGTCGATGAAGATTTAGGCTTCCGTAGCGATAGGCACTCGCCTCTCGCCTCTGGGGTCTTTGGTTCGTTTCCAGACTCGAGGATGTGACAAGTGTCTCTTGATTGTAGGGTTTTTCTTTCGGTTTTCCTCCTTCAGCAAAGCCTAACACGCTAAATTGCAATTTCATTTTTGAGTTAGCCGTGCCCTGACTTAGATCAACCCAGTGGGTTTCTTATCGAGGTCTCAAATGTGTCAAGGGTTAATGCAATGCGGAAAACCATGCATATGCGGGACTTATATAAAACGGCTGACAATTACAACTATAACCTCTGCATGGCATTTGATATCACTGACAAAGAAACTCACTTTAAATTGTTCACTAACAATGTCAACAATAACGCTAGCTTTATAATATGTTTTCACACGTATAGATTATCTTTGAGATTATCTTTTATTCTTAATAAAACTGTAAATTATGACCTCTTTACGACATTCATAATCTCTGTTAAAATGTTTTGTCAAAAGCAGATGACGGGGCTAAATGACTTTAAAATTTTGATATTTTTTTCAGTTCAAACACTTATATCCACGAACTGGTCTGTGATTGGCTGACGGGTGGCGTAACTGGCTAATTGTTTATCGAGTTAAAGACTAGCCCCTGTTCTCAGGATTGGATATCACTGCTTTCAAATTGTCTCAAAAAATCTTAAGCACAAAACTGTAGCATTGTCATCTAGCTAGTTCTAAAACTGGACAGTGGTTGGTAACTACAGTGCCTGATAACTACTAGCTTCTTGGCTGCCATTAGTTAACTATTGGGAATATTTCGTCATGTTTTCCGACCAACCAAATTGCACAGGGGTAGTTGCTCCAAAGGTGTTGGCTTTCTCAACAGCTGCCATCTCAGCGGGTTTCTCTTTGATCACGACTCCAGGAAACCTACTGGTTTGTTTAGCTGTCCTCATCAACCCAAACAGAAATCTTCGAACATCATTCAACTTCTTCATCGTAAACTTAGCATTAGCTGATCTAACTGTTGGAGCCATCACCGAACCTCTTTCCTTTGTCTATCATATAAGAGAGGGCTTACGCCTGCAATTTTCTCTCTTGCAAATGGTTCATCATTATCTTTACTTTATCACCTGTACAGCTTCGATCCTGAGTCTTGGGGCGTTGACCGCTGAGCGACACTCCGCAGCAACCTCAGCTAGAAGCTACCGCGCAAGACAGGTTAACTCAAACAAAAGATACCAGTGGGCGACGTGTGGGATCTGGGTCATTTCTGCAGCCGTTTCCGGTTTCTATTTCATAATCGGGCCGTTAGTTCAGTCCTTGGTCGTCACGGTTACGGCGGTAGTATTAACGTTCGTGATTCTTGCTTTCACATATTTGAGAATCTACGGTGTCTTGAAAGAACGAACGCAAGCGAACTTAAGCCGAGGTATTCCGAATCCTAACGAAGACTCGAACGACGCGACCCGTAAGAAGAGAAATGCTGCATTGAGAGCAATCGAGTACGAAAAGAAGTTAACTAAAGTCCTTGCGTCAATTTTAGTGTGTTATATTTGTTGCTTCATTCCAGCGTGCGTCTTAATTTTCACGATGAATTTATGCAGCAGTTGCTCCTGTGAAGTGATCCATTGGATGCGAGACGTACAGTTTTGGTTTATTCTTCTGAATTCTGCCGTCAACCCGTATTTATATGCTTGGCGTATCCCTCATTTCAAGCGCGCAATTGTCAACATCTTGAAGTGTCAAGGACGAATAGGGGGAATCAGTCCCTCTGATTTGTCTGTCAGCCAGCGTGACGGGTCAACCAACAATTATGATCAGAGTGTCACTCGACGTGACAGGTCTACCAACCAGTGTAATGTGCATGTGTGACTGGTCTGAACTGTCTGTCAGCCAGCGTGACGGGTCAACCAACAATTATGATCAGAGTGTCACTCGACGTGACAGGTCTACCAACCAGTATAATGTGCATGTGTGACTTGTCTTATTTGTCTGTCAGCCAGCGTGACGGGTCTACTAACAATTATGATCAGAGTCTCACCCATCGTGACAGGTCTACCAACCAGTATAATGTGCATGTGTGACTGGTCTGATATGTCTGTCAGCTAGCGTGACGGGTCTACTAACCATGATTATCAAACTGTCAGCTAGCGTGACAGGTCTACCAAGCAGTATAATGTGCATGTGTGACTGGTCTGATATGTCTGTCAGCTAGCGTGACGGGTCTACTAACCATGATTATCAAATTGTCACCTAGCGTGACGGGTCTAGCAAGCAGTACGAAGTGTATGTTTGACTGGTCTGAATGAGCAAATCTTAATAGGTCTTTTGCAACAAACGGTCAAGTGCTGATCAAGACTTTGCTAAAAAATCACTTTAATTAGCCAAACGTTCCTTGGGGATGGCTCTGCTAGCAGGCAAACAAACTTTAAACTGCTTCGTATCTTGAAATCGCGAGCATCTTATAAGAAAAAAAAAATTTTTTTGGAAAAAGTTTTGGATACGACATTAGTAACCCAGCAAAAAATATTTAAATAAACGAGGTCCACTATTTTTTGCCATATCCAGTAACAACCACGTGTCAACCTATTGCAAAAGGCCTATTTCACTTGTGCTAGTGCAATGCTTTACCGGGTAAAGGAATGATAATGCCATCTGAAATGGGACAACCTGCACGACTAAAAGACTGATGAGACTCCCATTACTTCTATGATGTAAAAAAGGAATATGTGATCTTGTAAATGGACAGAACACTAACTCCAGATAAGCTACTAAATGAGCAAATATGCAGACTCAGATATTGAATATTTCCCTATAGGTTCAAAACGGGAAAAAACGACTTGCTGAAACGTTAGCAAACGCACCAAAACTGAATACCATGTTTCATTTGCGGAGGAACAATACATGATCTCGAATCTTTATCTTTCTTTATTTGCGCTTGTTCGTGACATTAATTGCTCTGTCCCATCAAATATACAAACTCAAAGGAAAAAACCTGACTGTTGGTATTGCATTAAAGCAAAGTGATTCAAAAGGATGTGTACCTAGCTTTCGCTAATAGTTCTGACGAAGCCATCTGTCTTAGTGCAATGTCACTCTATTTCACTGGACTGTGGTATGACGACAGAGGTGACATTTTTAAATTTTTGAGAGAGAGAGCTTGATTAACAATAAATATAATAACAATAATTCAAGGGGGAAAAAGGCGATTGATTTTTTGACAGAAAATCTCAGGGACTATATTCTTTATTTTTCTTTAAATCTTCTTTTTCTTTCTTTTCTTTCTTTCTTTCTTTCGTTC